GGATTAATTGCAAAGCCCTTGAAGCAAGCGCACGGAGAAAAGGAACCCACCCACCATTCTTACTATTTACTGCTATCTAGCAAATAGACCTATGGGAGCGAAAGACATGAAATATGGACCCCTGAGATTGGCGAGTGTGTCTTCCAACCCCGCCTGCCTGCATGCCAAAAGCCAACAAACTCCTTGACTCATTTTCAGAGCACCGTGAGGTCCGCGCACAGGCTCCACCTGCCCAACAGACAGATTCACTTTTTGAGGGTCATCGAAAAGCTCTATTCGCTGACCCGTAGAAAATCGACAACGTGCGTTCACGTGTGCTCTTGAGACATATGTGTGTCGAGCCGGTGTAGCCTTCACGGGCCTTGCCAACATCTCCCCTTAATAGGGCGCCAATTCATGGCAAGGAGCACTTAAATTTGAATCGGCAGCACGCATCACTCAAGTTTAGAAATCGCAATATAAAGCGGACGCCGTTCTCGTACAGTTTTGTCTCTCTCACTACTGTCGTTTACGGTAAGATGCTTTGATACGAAGGTTTGAAAGCTCAGGGAAGAGGAAGAAGAACAGGATGACAAACGTCTAAATTGGGACAGGGGAAGGCTCGATTCAAAGAAATGCACGCACACATATGGAGTCAGAGGTGTACATGACATGTCTTGCAAGCACAAAACCCGCACGCGAAAGCTTTTAATGCCAGCCTCTCTTCTAGGCACGGCATTCGGTCCAGAAGGTCTTCCCTGCAGGAGAAGGCTGGTGATTGTGGGGGATGGTGACAGAGGGAGAGATGACAGAAACAGGAATGACACTCAGTTCTGAATGTCACTGTGGTGCTCGAGACCCCCACTAACCTTTTGGTCGGAAATGAGAGGACGGGCATGTGAGCAAGATGGAGATATGATCATCATAAGAATGAGGGGGTGGGACATAAAACAAAGCACATGGGCAGTGACAGAAGGACTGAGTGGGTGGGTGGGATGGGGAGCGATAGATGACGGGATGAAAGCGACGGAGGAAAACAACGGCCCTGCTTCTCATCTCAGCCACTGGGGCGGTCAACCTCTCCGCATGACCACAACAGACAAAATGGCCGCAGCAATCGCCACCTCAAACAGTTGCACGAAAGGCAATCATCCGTCCAACCTCTAAACAGCTTCTCTTCACGAGGGCGGTGGGCGTGCTGTAGCTACTACCCCCCCAAGAGGCGGGGTACCCCAAACTCATTGCCGGCGAATCGAATCGCAGACACCCATTCACACTTATGACAAACATTCAAACACACAAATACAAAAGAAGAGCATACGCCCGAACACTCAGGCGGAAATCGAATCAGCAAAGCCGACTTCTGAGATCCTTGATTTTCAGCATTAGCATACACAGGTTATTCTATTTGTTTGATGTAAAGCAATACATGCTAACATATTGTAGCATCTGCTATGGATTATGTTGGCACTAGTTAGTGAACTCGCGTTTATCAACAACCAAAATACAGTGGTTGAGTGCCCGCGGTTGATATCGAACAGCACAGCACCCGTGCTAGCTACATCACGTCTCCCTCCTTTCCCAGTTAGTCACTCGCGACCAGATCTCAAAGCTCAAAATCAAAACTCAAGACTATATCGTGAAAACAAATCACATTTGTCATATATGCATCCAATTTGCTATGTGGATTCGTTTTCTGGATCGTTTATCTTCAAAAAACATTTAATCTTCTAGGGCACTCTTCACGGTTGACCTACCGGGCACAGTAAATTTGTCTTTTTAGCTGTGTAGGTTACACTGTTTTGCAGTCATTTTCTTGCAAATATTAATTCAATTGCTTGTGATTTTGGTGATCAAAATTGGGTACACTCTGCTTTCACGCAGTTCTAGCAAGACCTCTATGAAATGTACTCAGTCACTCAAGCACTTCTAATTCTGGTCTTTCACAATGAGTTTACGTAAGCTAAACAATCAGCATAGCTTCGCCGGCTTTCCCTCTGTTAATTACTCCTTGTAATTCCCTTTTGAGAACGCTACTTGTAAGAAGTGTAACTTATTCGCCGCAGTGGAGGCAAGATGGTGGAGGCTGTGATTATTGAATTAGGAGCAAAACTGCAACAAGTTTAGGAGGCAGGAATAGCCCGACGAAGCTTGCTGCTAAACTTGCTAATTGCGTGCTGCTGCAGCGTCTCCGCTCGATCCTGCCGACTACCCGGCTGCAGGTAATATCAGCAGCACAGTGGAGATTTTTGGTGAGGTCTCCACCGTTCCATCAGCAAAAGACAAAACAAAACATGATTCTCAGTTTTGCAAGTCTTTGTGTTTTGATGAGGCTCAGAACAAAAACTTATGTTTACTAACGTCAAGAGGCACAAAGTCGAAAAGTGACACGATAAAGTCTTTCCTATCATCTTTGCGATAGACATTGTCATATCGCCCAGCTCTAGTCGGTATCAACAAATATTATTCAATTGGGGGGTTTTTCTATTCAAAAGAAGGACCAGGAAACGAAAAGGCTGCAATTAGTTAAGTTCATCTAAAAAGATTTCACCTATCCAGGTGTCAACACAAATAAACAAAATTTGCTCTGAGTGCTAAATATTTTGAAAGTGTAGAAAGTTTATGGAAGAATAAACCTTTCACACACTTGAACAACTTAATACGTCCAAAAATATTGCCAAACTAGTGGCGTGACCATCCTCATTTCCGACTCCATCACGGCAGCATTATGGTCCAATGTGGCGAACATTGGCTACCACTCTCCAAGTTCTTGCGCTATTCACAGCAAAATAACGCTAGGTGCTGAGTTGCCCGTCATGCCAAAATAAACACTATGTATAATTAGTTAGTATAAATAATTAGATCCATGTAATATCAAGGTGTACCTGATACTAGCTTGAGACAAAATACAGAATTCCCAAATTGTTTCTTTTCCATGTCTTCTCAATGTGACTAAGGCCAGATTTTTGCAAGCAAGACTCCAAGGTTAGGAACACAACTTTGATGAGCAGCCATAGCATATGCAAATATAGGAGATGTCAACTCTTTCTCACAGTTTCTTTTTAACTCAACATAAACCAAAGCAATCCTAGTTTGAAAGGGTCTCCATTCAAGCCACACGCACAAAAAAAAAAGACAAACGGGAGAAAGAGCCATGGTGGTGAACATCTGTTGTGTGTATGTGTGTGTGGTCGGGGCCTCTTATCTCTCCCTCTGTGGCCGCTAAACATGACGAGCTGCCATCTTGGCTCACAGACACAAGGTAGTGGGGGTAGCGGCTCCAAGCTCGATGGCAGACAGGAGGCGGAAAAACAACCATGCGGCATATTTTCAACGACTGTGTCAGGCTAGGAGAACACTACTTTGGCGTTTTATTTCACAGAAGAATTTATTTCTGTGATACCGTTTGTGTGTTTGTTTGTTTTAGCATAAGGCAAAGTTACGCGAGCGCCAGGGTGACCATTACGCAAGTTGAGTGATTACAGAACATAATGGAAAAAGAGGGTAGGGTCGCCTAAGCGGCACCCGAAATAAAGCGCTACCGCAAAAATCGTCAACAAAATGCGCTTAAGACAAAGTAGTTGAATCGGTTACACCAACGGCAGAGGAGCACTGTCGGCAGGTGTTTGGAGCCGCAGTTTGCTCCCGTTCACGTCGAGTAACAAGTGTATGTGTACTGATAGCCAAACTTGGTCGACGGGTTGAATGTAACATCATAAAAGTTATTCACAGCGAAAGCCAAAACACAAAAAGGTAACATAAATACCAATAGGCAACATTGGTTCGCTGAACTCACCCAAAGTAAGCTAAATGCGAATGGAAGTTAACTTTACTTGCTCAAGAGCGAAGCATCCTCTGATAAGCGCCCCGAGCAGGTTTCAAACTAGCTCAGGGGCTAATAAGTACACAATGAAGATGAGGGTTGGCTAACACGTTAGCTGAACTTGTGTGTCCTAGCACTGGGCTAACCTCCAGCGGCTAGCGAGGCTAATTAGCCTATCAGTGGCGTTTCGCACGTCGTTCCCAACAGAGGAACGAACACCGTTTGGGCTATTATTTCTGTGAAAAAAACAGTTTCCCTCACACGTCGGCGAAGAAAAACACCAGATAATAGATTTCGGGTATTGTTAACGGTGTTTAAGTTGGTAAAACGTGAGACAAAACAACGTGAACGACGCGGTTAATGTGGATGACCGCTTGGCCTCACAATTCCCCCTCCTCTCCTCTGTCCCTCCCGTCCAATAAATCTAGCGACTACTACGGGCACTTCACATTGGATCCCGTCAAATGCCGACATTATTTCGATGAAAATTGTAGTTGTGCGAAGCAAACTTGACATAAATGTGTTCATATAAGCCAATCCGGCATTTAGTTACGGCGATTTGTCCGCCGGGAAGCTCCCTGTGAGATTGGCTCATTCAGTCGGCCAGTGACTCACCTCTACGCTCGAGCCACCTCGTGTCTCTTGAAAGCTCAACACAATTAGCTAACTATGCTAACACCCACTCTTCACTGAAGTACATTTTCCCAATGAATAAAAAACTCAACAAGACAGAGAGAAATAGAGACAGAAGAAGAGAGGTCCACCGTGCCGTCCCGAGAAAAAAAGCTTTCCACTTTCAAGGAACTATCGCAAAGTGACTTGTGTGCGTGTGTGTGTGTGTGTGTATATGTGTCCGAGTGTGCGATTAGCGGTAGAAAGCTAAACTTGCTATTGTTAGCATGTCGGCATGGCTGATACACAAACCTTCAATGATTTTCTCTCGAAATAAGAAAGAAACCTAGGCGAGAATACACTCGTTGCCCCGATTTCACGATGTCCCGCGAGCTATCCCCGAATCAAACATCAACCTTCCCTCACGCTCAGCGAGTGCGTTTGCGTTCAAAAGTACCGAAAACTTACCATTCTCCGAATGGAAACGCTTCTCATTCATCAATACTGGTTTCACATTAACTACTACACTAAGTACCAATTGTGTGCTATGGATTTAAAAAAAAATGTGAATATAAAATCCTCTTACCCCCAACAAGCTTGGTCACTTCAGGCTTCTTCTTTTCTTTTTTTTTTTAATCAAATGAACTCCTCGTTAGTATCTCCGTTTCCGCAAAGGGGAAAAATCACCGTGGTCCTTTCTGGTTTTCAAAAGACAGACTGGGAAAAAAAAAGTTGCATTTGAATGTTTATCGTGAAATGTATCTCCGGTGGGTCTCGCATCTGCGACCTCGCCGACGAGTGCGCGTTGCGCTTCTGTCCTTTGTGTTAATTTCACTCAAATCGAGTTTAATCCGATCGATCCCTCGACTGGTCGGTCGCGTTCCCGAGTCCTCCCCTCCAGACACTCGCTCACCTTCCTCGGCCGGGGGTGCGCGCTCCCGAGGACCTCTCATACAGATAAACAGGCTGCGTGCGCGGTCACTGACCCCGTCGTGCCCGTGTGACGATTTGTGAGATTCGCTCAGTGCGCGGACGTGGTTTTATGTGAATTACCCTGAAGACAACAACCGTGTCCACCACTATTTGAACGGAAAATATGAATGAACGCAGAAAGCCTAAACAAATACAATCCCAAGACATTTTTAGAGGTTTACATAGTGTGTCCCCAACTCTTCAAATGAAATTGGGGTGATTCGTCACAAATTCTGAAATTTAAGATTGACCCGTTTGCAATAATTTTTGATTGAACCCGTCTCTGGTCATACTTTTGTCTCTCATTCATGCCACAATATTTTTCCAGGATGTCACCTACGGAGTAGTGGTTCACCCTGACCAACATGTTGACAATGAAGCGTCTGCTCCTTTTCCACCCAGTGTGAATGGTTGTCCGTCTCTATATCTGCCCTTTGACTAATTGACAACTAGTCCAGAGTGTAATTTGTCTTTCACAAAATCAGCTAGGTTGGGCTCCAGCTCCCCGTGACCCTGGCTACAGGATCATCGGTAATGGAAAATGAATGGACGGATAGTTTTCTGAATATAGGCTATTTCACAAAATTAAGTCAAATTTTCCTTTAGGATTTATAATCCATCCATATTTATCAATTATCAAAAAAAAGTTAGTATGTCAGCAATATACTGAAGTGGAAGTTCAAGAGATTCTGGGTTAGAGAGATACTGTGTGGCGTTTGCATGCTTAGACTGCCTCCCACATTCAAAAACATTCAAATTCGGTTCATTAATGTCTCTGATATGACCATAAATGTGTGAATGGTCGGTTGTCAATGCTTCCTGAGATTGACTGGCGACCAGTCCAGGGTGTGTCTGCCACATTCCTAACTTGATCGTCATCAAATAAAGTAACAACTTTCTGCAAAACACGTTCCAGTGGTCCTGTAATTCATTCCCATGCATCGTAACAACCAAATAATTAGTATTCTCAACAAAATAAGTTGCTCACCCAAGCTAAGCACAAGACCGCATGAGAACTTGAAAGTGTATACAGCGGACAATATATGTAACTCGCAAAAATCATGAATTCCTTTGGAAATCGCTGCCCCCCTATTGGTTTAGCGCGACACATTAAGTGGTGAGTCAAATTACACAGACAACCTTCGTCTTCCTCATCATGATGGGAAAATAACATCAGGTTACAAAACAGCCAATCACGCCGTCCCTGTAATGCACACAGAGATCAAGAAAACATAGGAAAGTAACTTCAAATTTAAATCTTGACCACTATACATAAAATGGCCACAGCTGCACACTGCAAGTTTGTATCCCTCCATTTTTTGGTTTAAATATTGCTGAGGCTATCCCAGCTGAATTTGAGAAAGACGCGGTGTACACCCTGGAGTGGTCGCAAGTCACATTCATACCTGCTAATTGTTGAACAATGCTGAAAAGCAAACACCAGATACAGTAAAAACACCGGCATTTTTTTAATATACAGCACTATATTTTTCTATCTTCACATCATTAAAGTGACATGTAGAGTTTCAAATGTTTTATTATAGTTTATTGTGATTGCATTCTTTTTTTTCTTTATTTTTCCATGTAATTTTCTTCCAAAGAACAAACACAACAACTTTTGGGGGCAAGAGAAGCAGGAAGATGAAGACAGAGTTGAAGGGAAGGAGGACACACAGGTAAGATAGATCAATCCGTAGATAAATAGATGTATCAGGTTTGGCTTGATCCTCCCCCTCTAACCACTGTGGGTCTGCACACACGCGCAATCACACACACACACACCACATGTTGCTTTACAAAGAATAATGCTTGATTAATATCCGTCTGATATATATCTAAAATGGAAAAAAAACTGCAATCCCCATATCTATACAGGAGTTAAAACATTGTACATTTATATATTGTGTGCAAGGGCATGTGTGAGTGTGCGCGCACAGGGAATCAGTGGGAAGAAAGTTAATTGATGAGGATTCCAATCAAACGCCCCGACACGCCCCACAAGGTGCATCTAATGTAATGCATCAGTTTGCAGCTAATTCATTTTAGCTGCTGTTTAAATCTCTCAAGGGGGCGGAGTTAAGGCAGACAGCTGATCCTGACATAGCATAATGGAGTGATTGCTGCCCCGCCACTTTATGGAACGAAACACGAGCGAACACGTTGTTTTGGCAATTAAAACACACACACACACACACACACACACACACACACACACACACACACACACACACACACAACTAATGTTACCACACAGCTAGAGGATGCCCGAGCGGAAGTCAGGATGTAAAGGGGGAAAGATGAACAGAATAAGTAAACAATGATCAAAGCAGTAAAACGATGGCCAGGACATCAAAAGCGAACAAAATATCGCAGCACTCATCGATGAAGCTCTAAACAACACATGACATGTTTGTCAACTATTTCATGGTGGGTGTCAAAGTTTGCTTCAAAGGGAGATGACTTGACATTTGAGTCCGTTCTCCACATGATCTCGTTACCTTGCCTGTTATCATTCACACTTGTCACTTCAAAGAAAAGGGCAAGAGCAACCCCTTTCAACAGGGTTTGTGAGCATTTGGGCTGAAATGAGAATTCTTTTGGGTTTTTCGTTTTTAGAAATAAGCGTAAAGCCCAGGTGAAGGCCATAACTTGCCAAGTTTCACTCTTGAACCGCCAAAGAAGCTACAGAAATCTAAAGAGCCATATATATATATACACACACACACACAGAATAGCGCCTGATAAATACAGTTAAACATCTCCAATTGCTTCCTTTTTTGTTGTTGTTTCGATTCTCAACTTCATTATGTCAGCCACTTCTCTCAACATCCCCTTGACGTTTCTTTCATTTTCTTCATTTTTCGACCATTCCAAAAGGATTCATTCCCACACTCGACAGTTTGGTCTTTTATTCTCTCCCCGGGACAATTTAAAACAGCCACACAATTGTTTAGTGTTCATTAAATACATTTCACCTGCAAATTGACATGAAGACAAAAGGGAGGAAAAAAAAACGGTTTTATCAGCAGAGGGAAGTGACTTCAATGACCGACTTCATTGGAATGCCTATATCGTTCGTATACGCGCAGGCCCTACGTGTGCAAACACGCCTAGCTACCTAAGTGCTGCAGCGTTTTCTTTAAAAACATGTGGAGATGTGAGTGTATAGGCAACACATGGTTTATTTTTCCATACAGTCAGTCAGTGTCAGTTTTTTCTTTTTTTTTTTTTTACACCCCCCCTCCCCACAGGTGTGTCTATGGCTGGACAAATTCACTGCCACCAACACAAATACAGCGTATCATCATCATCCTCTTGGTGTCAATTTTAAAACAAATACCGTTAAAACCAATTCATCGTCCCAAGGAAAATGTGAAGTTTAGAATTTAGTGAGGTAAAGCTGACACCGTTCTTGAAAGGGTTGAGCTCATGGGATGCTGCCATGACAGTCAAAGGTATGATTTAGCAAAAAAACAAAAAAAAAAAAGAGGAAGAAGAAGATTGGTCTGTAAGAAGGAAAGCAAGGAGGACACAAAAGGAAAGATGGATGACAGGATGGAGAGAGACAGGTTAACAAACTGTTACTAAGCCTGCACAGTTCTGCAGTAGCAAAAAAACAAAAAAAAAAAAGAGGAAGAAGAAGATTGGTCTGTAAGAAGGAAAGCAAGGAGGACACAAAAGGAAAGATGGATGACAGGATGGAGAGAGACAGGTTAACAAACTGTTACTAAGCCTGCACAGTTCTGCAGAAATGCAAGTGGGAGTGGGGTAGGGGGAAGGGGGGAGGGGTTGGAGAGGGCTCATGGGTAAAAGGA